ACACGAAGACGTGCTCTTACGCCCCACTGGACGACCTTTCCTTGTACTCCCAAATCAATGGAGCACACGAAGAAGTGCTCTTACGCCCAACCCGACGTTCTGTATCCATGTACTCCGACTGCGATCGATCATAGGAAGAAGTGCTTTTACGACGGCCTCTTTGACTGTACTCCCATTTGGATGGATCGCGCTTTGTTGAATTGGGCTTCTTGGGCCGACCTCTCGGATTTTTCGTCACTGGAGGTTCTGTGTAACCTTGTTGGTCGGGGTGAAGTGTAGAGTCCATGAACTGAGTAACGTACCTCAACGTTGCAGGATCGGCCTTTTCAACCTCTAATGCAAGCCTCCGAAAATTATCACGATCTGTCCATCCACTTCTCGATGCACTCTGGTGACCTGTCCGTTAAAAAAATTTAAAAGATTAAACCACACACTATATAATTAATTATATAAATAAAAGAATACGTGAAAAAATTAAACATCACAATCAACATCACAATTATACCTGGCTCCTTCACCACTAGTGTGCTCCAGAACTTGTGAATCATATCGGGCGTAATTTCCATACTCATAGTATATGCCCCATTTAGCTGACAGGCACAAAGAAGCCCATGAGTGTAACTCAGTACACATCCGCAGCGATCCAAAACATCTTCGCCCAAGTCTCGCATCCTCTGAAACTCATCATTCAATAGATCCAAACAATAATGTGAAACCCGCAATCTCAACTGCGCGAATGGGAATCCACGGTAACCCGTATGCATCCTATGTCTCGAAGACTCCAACGTTTCCCTGGTAATACATTACATAACATTAGGCATAAATAAAACATATTATAGAATGAATGCAATAATAACACATTAAATATGTATAAATTAAGGAATATACCTGACTTGAGTCATTTGATACTCAATCTCCTTGTCAATCTTCTCCCACACCGTGTCGAGCGAACCAGTCAACGTGTGCAGCCACCTCTTCAACGTAGCATGGGCACTCTCCACCCTACACATCGTCATGTTGCCAAAATGTAACAAAGAGTTCGTCCACGCTCTGACGAATTTCTCCTTATGGACTAACCATGTCTTCTTCACATATTCTAGCACACGAGGAAATTTCGCGTATGTAGCATTCATATCAGCTAAGGAAGCTTTGTATGCATCCAACGTGCTCGCCTCAACGACCTTCTTCCACCTGCCATGCGTGAACTTCGCTGCGAAGACTTTATTTTTTGATGTTAGTTTATACACATTGTCTTCTACATCTTTGTTGATGTGCCACGTGCACAGTAGGTGGGCCGACTGTGGGAAATTCGTGTGGATAGGAGTAATCAACCCCAACTCCCTGTCAGTGACAATGACTGAAGGATTTTCAGTTGGGTCTAGAAGAAGTCTCAACCGCTGTAGGACCCAGTCATAGCTGGATGCGCTCTCGTCCTTCATAATCGCATAGGCAATTAAGAAGTTCCTACTGCACGGCGTCATCCCAACCATCTCCACCAACGGCATATGATTCCTGTAACATGAACATAAAACATACAATAAATAAAAAAACTTACTCAATCAAACATAATAATTAAAATAAAATTCACAATCAACTGTCTATTTATAAAGTAACGTAACATACCTGTTGGTTTTGTACGTGGAATCTATACCGACATACCAGTAATATGTCCGGAATAGACTGGCTGCTTGTGGATGAGACATAAACACACGTGTCAACGCCTGTGTGTTCGGATTAACGTCAGTATAAACTATGTAGTTGCTGGCCGTTGCCAAATACAGAAGCTGCCCAGCCACATCTCTACCCTCCAAACTTCAATTTAGCTTTATGATTATACACTTGTTGGATAGTCGCGTTGTGCACAGGGTGTTTCTCTTGAATTGCAGCCAGAATTGCTGCCAGTGTTGCCTGAGCAGAACTCATATCACGGACAATCTCTCTGGATGGATCGCTGAGTCAACTCATTTGTCGTTGACCCTCAGGATTCACAGCAAACGCATGATTATGCGTCCCCTTCTCTTCATCTAAAGGAACCGAGATACAAAATTTTTTGGATGTTGCACCACGTTTGACGTTTATCATAAAAAGGCAGCCGGTGGCTTTTGTTTTCGATTTTCTCATAACAGCCTTAACGAAATTTTCTACTTTTCCTACAGTACCTCTGTAACGTTCCCCTTGATGACACCTCAACTCTTTTCCTCCGTTATCTAATTTTCTCGAGATGACCAACTGGAAACCCCATATTATTGCAATGTTTTTTGCCCATTTAACAGCTTCGTCACAACTATCAAATAAGTCACTTATAATTGTACTAATAATTATCCTAAATACTAATATAGTAGTATAAATAGAATTTTTAATTATCCTAAATACTAATTAATTTATACTAATATAGTACTTAGTATATTTATTAGTATAATTATCAATATTATTTTTAATATATATTAGTTATAAATATTAATATTTAATATTCATATTTAAGTACTATTACAAAATATTTAATATTTAATATTCTTAGAAATATTAATATTTAAAATCTTTATTAAATTTTATTATTGAATATTCATATTTAAGTATTATTGAAAATAAATTTATTATTATTAACTCTCTTAATTACTTTTAAAAACATTTTTAATTAAAAAAAACGAAAAAAAAAAATCGCCCGAAGGCCGGCCGCCAATCGCGGCTCGAAGAACAAAGGCCGACCGTAAATCGCGGCCTAGATCACAAAGGCCGCAGTTATTAATTGCGGCCGAAATGGAGTAGACCGCAATTAACAACTGTCCCAACAATGTCGAGCCGCAATCGCCGGTCGGCAAATACGAATTCGGCCGCAATCGCCTACCGACCGGCGGCCAGAATTTTTTATTTTTTTTTATTCGTTAAAATTGTTAAAAAAAATAAAAATAATTACTTGTGAATTGGAGAGCCCTTTCCCGGTGCTTGAGGATTGTCCCGCCATTTTTTCTTGATTTTTTCGGTTTTGTTTCGAATTTTTTCAGATTTATTTTTATTTTTTCGTAATTTTTGATTTGTTTTTCATATTTTTTGATCTTTTTTCGTAATTTTTTCTTGATTTTTTTTTGGTTTTTTTAGTGATGAATTTTTTAATTTTTTGATAGTTTATATGTCCATTTTCGGTTTCTTTTTTTTTTTTAATTCAAAGGGCAAAATCGTCATTTCTGGGGGCGGTATTTATTAAAATACATGTGGTAAATAACAATACCCTAACTAAAATGATGTAAAAGTAGGATAGAGAAGATGTAATGTGATGTGATGTTTAGTTAAAATTATGTGAGTAGATGAATAGTGAATTAAGATTGATGTGGTGTGTATGAATGAATGATTGATATTATTTAAATATATTAATAATATTGATGATACTGGTGTTGAGTTAAAAGTTGAGTTAAAAACCAATGTTATCAAAATCGGACCGGACCGGCCGGTTCAACCGGTTCGTCCCGGACCTCATAACGGTCTGGTCTGCAACGTTAAACCGCACAACACAAAAACCGGTCACAAACCGTTTAGACCGGTCAAAACCGGTAAAACTAGGGAACCGGTCACGGTTCCAGCGGCCCACCGGCTGTAGTTCTACGGACCTCCTCAGCCAAAATTACATTTTCTAGTTCCGCTGGTTTAACGTTGTAGCATTTGTAGTCCCAAGATTTTAACTTTTTGTCTTTTGGTCCTGTAATTTAGTATTTTGTTGCAATTTCAGTCCTTTGTGACTGAAATTGCAGCAAAATATGAAATTACAGGACTTAAATTGCTAATAAAAAATTCATCCAAAAGATTTTTCATTATCAATTTAAGTCATGTAATTTTATATTTTGTTGCGTTTTCAGTCCAAATTGCATTAAATTTTAAAATTGTAGGAGTAAATATAAAAAATGTTCAATTCGTAGGACTAAAAATGCAAATGGATTAAACCAACAGGACTAAAATTACACTTTTGCCGACCTCCTCATGTTCAGATTTCATTAAAAGCACCTAAATTTTTTGTTGTTTTATCAATGTGGGAAGTTGCTTTTCCACTTTTTTCTATACTTCTTCTTCTTCTTTGTTGTGTAGTGTACTTTTCAATTAGTATTTTATTTTCGCTTGGGCCTGCCAAAAGCCCAATGAACACATTTTTAATATATGTATGCAAATGCAATTTTTTTTTTTTTTTCAAAATTCACCTAGCCAGGACGATAAATATTTTGTATGTGGAGTGCAAACTTTTTTCAAACATCAAGTCAAAACTTTTTCTTTTTAAAATTGCAAAATGAAAACTTTTACTAAAAGATATATTATATTATTGTTACATATTGAGAATTTACAAAATAAAAACAAACTTTAATTACATGATAAATTTAACAATTTAGTAGTGTTTAATGATAGTGATGATAAAATTGTAGAATTATATATTATACATATTAAACTAGTGATAAAAAAATATATACAATTATTTTGTATGTAGAGAAATGTCATTATTTACTATAAAAATAGTGATAAAAATATATGGAATTTTATATAATACATATAAAATAAATAAAAAATTATATATTAATTAGACCGGTTCGACCACTGGTCCGACCAGTGAACCATTGAACCGGTAGCTTCACCGGTTCGATGACCGGTCCGGTTTTCAGAACATTGTTAAAAACTCTTGAGGGAGAGCTTTGCCGCCCTTGTGGTCCTACCCGGCTCGATTCCGAATTAGTCGGTTCCCCTGTGGATTCGGAAATCGGAAGGTCCCTGTACCAAAAAAAGTTGAGTTAAAAAAAATTGTTGAGTTAAAATGTTGAAATTTTTTTAAAAATTCAAATAAACAAACATGCTTAACTTTTCCTTGAAATAAAAAATATATATAGTGATATACTGTAAAGTCATACATGTTTTGCTTTTTGACAATACATTATAAATAACCAACACATGAAATATTTTACCATCAACTAGCTATCTACAAAATTTAGCTTGCGAATTTTACTATACACATCAAATCAAACATTAATATGACACCGCAATACCCACTAACCACACCGCAGCTGCCGGCTCCGGCAGCAGCCAAGCACCATCCTCGCCCCCTCGACGACGCAATCGAGCACTACATCGGCGACATCAACTGGACCCAAATTTTCCATTTTGCCCTTGTCTCGTTTGCATGGTTTTTCGATGCGCAACAAAATTTCATCACCATCTTCACCGATACCTTCCCCAAATGGAGTTGCACAAAACCATGCCACGCCGAAACCAACTTGTGCCGCTTGCCCGAGACCTCGTGGTCGTGGGATTCCCCTGCGCATACATCCACCATATCACAGTGGTCCCTACAATGCGCGAGCCCAATCCTCCGTGGCCTACCCACCTCGTCCTTCTACTTGGGTTGTCTCATAGGCGGGTTGGGCCTGGCCACGTTGGCTGACTCAAGGTTGGGTCGGAAGAACATGCTTGTCCTGTCCTGCCTCGTCATGTCCATATTCGGGTGTCTATCAGCAGTTTCCGAGAACATATGGATGTATGTTGGGTTGAGGTTTGCGAGCGGGCTCGGGCGGGCCCCGATTGGGACGTGCGCATTTGTCCTCGGGAGCGAGCTCGTCGGGCAAAAATGGAGAGGAAAGGTCGGGATATTTGGCTTCTTGTGCTACGCCCTAGGGTTTCTATCCTTACCGATCATGGCTTATTGTCTTCGAGGGTTGTCGTGGAGGTTCATGTACCTTTGCACTTGCAGTCCATGCATTTGTTACTCTGTTTTGGTCTACTTGTCGGCCCACGAGTCCCCAAGATGGCTTTTCGTAAAGGGGAGGAAACGAGAGTTTGCAGAAACCCTAAAGAGCCTCGCACGCTCGGCGAAGGATTTGTCTGTGGATTGTTTGGAGTGGACGGAAGAATCGCACAAGCCGTATCGCTTTTACTCGGCAGTGAAGATATTGTTCGAGAAGAAGTGGGCCATTCATCGTTTGTTAATAAGCACGGTGGCAGGCTTTGGGATCGGGCTAGCATACTACGGGATGCCGTTAGGCCTCGGGAGTTTACCCGTCAATCTATACTTGAGTGTAGGGATGAACGCGCTTTCCGGCCTTCTTTCGTCTGCAGCCCTACTTCCCGTGATTGGGAGGATGAGGAGGAAGGTGTTAATGGTAGGTTTGTGCGTGCTAAGTGGGGTTTGCAACGTGGTCGGGGTGGTTTTGGTGGGGCCTGACGGGTGGTTGAAGATGGGATTAGAGTTGCTTTCGTTTTTCGGGGCGGGTATGGCCTTTGACGTGATCTTTGTCTACGTGCTCGAGCTTTTTCCGACGTGCGTGAGGAACTCGGCCGTGTCAGTGGTGAGGGAAGCCCTTTTGCTCGGCGGGTTTCTAGGGCCATTGGTGGTAGCGGCTAACAGGGAGAAGGGGTTCGTGTCATACGGCGTGTTTGGTGTGACGATTTTGGTGTGCGGGTTGTTTGTGGTTTGGCTGCCAGAGACTAAAGGGAGGGTGTTGTATGATACTATGGAGGAGGAGGAGGAAGAGACTGGTAAAAGAAATGAGTCGATTGTGAGATCGCGACTTGTTTGATAAGCGAACTGAGCTCGAGCTCATTTATTATTTATTTTGTTAGCTTGAATTACTTATTTACTTAACTCAAAAATAGAATTTTTTTTTTTTTGTGTAATTTTTTCTAGCTCGGTTCGTTAAGGCGCAAGTTCAACTTCATTATTATTTATATACGAGTTGTTTCTTAACGACAATTCATTAGTTAGTTAACGAGTTCGGTTTGTCTCGACTCGACTTGACTCATTTTGTGTCGATCTATCGATCATTGTAGAGTCTTAACAGGATCACATACGCGAATTCCAATCAAATCAAAGTATAACATGTACTAAATAACTTTGGGACAAGAATATGCAGATGCGCTAAAATTTCTCAAAAGACAATGTACAGGAATCCTTGTTCAAGAAAAATCAGGATTAGTCCACATTATAATTTCACATGCAATTTTTGGGTTTTCTTTAAATATTTTTTTTTTTGGTACAGGTTTTCCTTAAATATTGACTTCTTTTGTTTTGATGCGCATAAACACAGACCAAATAGAAAATAATAATAGAAAAAAACTTCGCTTATAAATAGTGACGGGTAAGGATACTGCGTGGTTTGAATTTTTTGTGATTAATTTAACGAAATTTCATTATACAAATTATTGTGTCAGATAATCTAACATATAATCGAGTCGATTAATTGCATGTACATGAATAAACAATACATATTTATACTATTATATATCATATTTTCGATTCATTATACAAATTATTGTGTCAGACAATCTAACAGTGAATTGTAACAATGCTTTAATTGTAACGTATGAATAAAAATACATATTTATACTACTGATTAAATATCATACTTTGTTTTAATAGTATAGCATTTTTTGAATAAAAATATATAGGTAACAGTGCTTCTTGATCCGGTTTAGACAATACATATATATCATTTTTATGTTAGTAGTTTGGTATTTGTCTCGTGGAGCCTAGCTAGCTTATAATTTGTTTGTTTTTTCGAATTTTCTTTGAGAAATTAAAAATAGATTTTCTTGGGGCACATAAGAAAATTGATTTAAGAAGGAGAAAATAATACAGAAAATTTCCCCCATTTTTATGTAAAAAATCATGATATGAGATAATAAACCTACCATACATACAAGGCTATAGTGAATATACTAATGTACCAATGGAACTTTTAACAATAAATAAAAAAAAAAAAAAACTTTGACAGGTGACCCGTGAATTGATTAATGTATAGAAAAATAAATAATTTTGATGACTAATTTGACTTTTTTACTAAATTAATTACGACAAATTTGAATTAGACAATGAATTATTTTTCACCGTCTCGTTTCTTGACCTTTTTATCAAAACCTAGAAAATTACGCTCATATAGATTTTCCATGTTACTATTTAATTCAAACCTGTTTGGAATTAAAAAAAGAAAAAGAAAAAGAAAAAGAAAAAAAAATGTACTGGAATCATATCTTTAGCTCTTAGTTTAGACTTTAGACAACCTTTTATTGTAGTTATTATTTTTTATTACAAGTATATTCTAATTTATTTTCATAATTATTTTATGCAAATGTAAATGTGAGAAAATAATTCAGATTAGTCACTAATCAAGAAATATAAAGCCTTAGACTAAATGAGAAATGATAGAAGTATAAACTGGATTACTAAATATGGCTTTTCTACAGTCAGATACTCTTGTATTTCGACTTGTACTTACTTAACAACAGGTACCTTTTAAATGAACGCCATGTGTCTTTTTTGTAATAAATTAAAAAATAAATCGAAAAAAAGCTTAATGCAAATATGAAAATGGCCTTAATTAGAAAAAAAAAACTAATTTACTTAGAAGGTGTTGAACTTTTGTAATATTAACATATGACCTAAACATAATTATATATCTCAAATAAACAAACAATTAATCCAATATTTCATTTCGAACGATCTTCTGCAAACAAGAAAACACTCACGAATATATGATCGGAAAAAAGACGTTTTAAGATTTGACATTTGAAGAATAACACGAAGGTACATAATTTTGTTTTCTGATTCGATATTTGAAGAACAACAGTATGTGAAATTTGTTTTCAATTTCTTCTTCTTCATTTCGATTACTGTCCAATTATGCGGTAATGTGCATCCATGATTTTGCTATGCATCCGTGAGTTATAAGACATAGATACGATGAATGTTGTGATGTGAATTTGTATTTGCTAATATGGATAATTCATTATTATTGTTCTTGTCATAAAGAAGCACAATAGATGTTTGACGAAATGTCTGAAGGGACTTCGAAGACGCAAAACAGATGAGCACCAAAATACAACTTGTCAAAAATTACAACCGAACAAGTTGTTGCTATTGTTGTTGTAGTCATAAACAATGTTTATGACATCAGATTGACATTTTAGAATACCATCATGAGCTTTAGTCATAAACAAGCACAATTGCACAAACTATGCTTTAAAACGCGACTTGATAGACATGTGCGATTGTAGAGGTTGGTTGTTGCTATACATTAACTTGGTTGTTTATAAACACACAACATTGATGGTAAAATAGCTGTGTTGTTTAATGTATCGTCATAGTGGAGTTTATGTAACAACTTAGCATCAAAATGGATAAAGGAAAACAAGCCATGATAAAGAACGAAAGATCCTTGTTCATTTTTAAATATGAGATCCACTATTTCATTGATATGTTTTTTGCGCAGCTGCTACTTTGGGATGATAACAATATATATATATATATATATATATATATATATATATATATATTATGCATGTGACTGTGTGTAGATACAGGTGGCAAGGATCCAACAGGCCTAAACAATGGAGTTTGTCTCATTATATTAAGTGAAGTTTGTCTCATTACAACATTAAATTGTTCATTCATTAACGACCGTAGTTGTTCCTCCATATTTAGCTGTTCATTAAAACTAAAAGCTTTAACAGAAAAAAAATGTAATTGTTCAGACATCAACTTGAAAGAACATTATTTACTTCTTATCTGTATGTGATGGTTGATGTTTATGTTTTATCTTGTATGCAAATGCAGGTGCAGGGGCATGGCACAGTATTATAATTGCTTCATCAAGTTCATTTGTGATTTTTCAGATCCTTCAATGCTATGAGTTATTGCGCAAAATGAGTTGTTTTTTTATTGTTTGTTCTTTACAAGCTGTTAGCAAGTGTTATTTTCGCAAGTATGAGGTCTTTCAATGTTTGTTTTCGCAATAGGTGTTGAGTGAAATTTCAGAAGATGAATACCGTGATATTCTACCTCTATGGTGCACTCTGACTACCAAAGAAGGTTGTGTTTATGAAATAGTTATGAAGTACTTGGATAACAGACTCCAATTTGTGGATGGTTGCGGGAGGATTTCATTCACAAAGAAAGAGTTAGGAATGAATTTACTGTTCACTTTGAACGCTTCAATGCATCAAGCTTTAACCTATCTATATGGACGAGAGCTGGTGTGGAAAGAGCGCCGCAATATCGGTTTATGCTTCAAGTAAAGAAAACTCATTTTGAACGTGCTCGCCTGGTAATTGCATGTTTGAATTTGTCTAATTTCATCATGAAATTGTTGTGTTAAATGGTCTTTAACAAAATTAATAATGTTGCAGTTTGTACAGTTCATTCCCATGGCATTCTGAAATATGCACATCAAAGATGAAAGGTGTTTAAAAAAGAAAGCTTATTTTTTGACTGACCAGTGTTTTAACCGTTTGGATGTAACTGAAAGGCATGGTAAAAAGTTAATCGAATATGAGGATGCTCGTCAATTCAGCGAACGTAATGGATTGATGGAAGGTTGTTCGTGTTCATTTGTGATGCTAGGAGGAGATCATCTGGTGTTTAGAATTATTATGTAGTTGTTGTGACCGGTATAAACTATTCTAGTTTGTCTTTCTAAATTAATGAATTATGCTGTAATTTTATTTGGTGTGTGTTCTGGATAGGGATATGTTTATTATATGCCATGACAACTTTTCAATTATGTTGCATAATCCATTAAACATGTTAAAATTTAAGATTAACATGTCACATAATAAGATAATTTTTTTCTATAATAAGCTGAACATGTTGCATATACCAAGATGAACATGTTGCATTATGTGATGAATATGTTGCATAATACATTGAACATGTTAAAATTTTATGAACATGTTACATAATGAGATTAATCTGTTATATAATAAGATCAATATGTTGCATAATATATTTAACATGTTAAAAATTAAGACGAACTTGTTACATTACATAATAAGATGAATATGTTCAATAATAAGGTGAATATGTTATATAATAAGATGAATATGTTACATATACTAAGATGAAAATTTAACATAATAAGATGAATATGTTCTATAATAAGATGAATACGTTACATACATAATAAGATGAACATTTTACATATACTAAGATGAACATGTTACATAATAAGATGAATATGTTCTATAATAAGATGAATACGTTACATACATAATAAAATGAACATTTAACATATACTAAGCTGAACATGTTGCATTATGAGATGAATATGTTATATAATTCGTTGAACATGTTAAAAATTAAGATGAACAAGTTACACGATAAGATGAATATGTTGTATAATGAGATGAATATGTTGCATAATATATTCAACATGTTAAAAATTAAGATGAACTTGTTACATTACATAATAAGATGAATATGTTCTATAATAAGGTGAATATGTTATATAATGAGATAAATATGTTGCATAATATATTCAACATGTTAAAAATTAAGATGAACTTGTTACATTACATAATAAGATGAATATGTTTTATAATAAGGTGAATATGTTATATAATGAGATGAATATGTTGCATATACTAAGATGAACATGTTACATAATAAGATGAATATGTTCTATAATAAGATGAATACGTTACATACATAATAAGATGAACATTTTACATATACTAAGCTGAACATGTTGCATTATGAGATGAATATGTTTCATAATTCGTTGAACATGTTAAAAATTAAGATGAACAAGTTACACGATAAGATGAATATGTTGTATAATGAGATGAATATGTTGCATAATATATTCAACTTGTTAAAAATTAAGATGAACTTGTTACATTACATAATAAGATGAATATGTTCTATAATAAGGTGAATATGTTATATAATAAGATGAATATGTTGCATATACTAACATGAACATGTTACATGATAAGATGAATATGTTCTATAATAAGATGAATATGTTACATACATAATAAGATGAACATTTTACATATACTAAACTGAACATGTTGCATTATGAGATGAATATACTGCATAATTCGTCGAACATGTTAAAAATTAAGATGAACAAGTTACACGATAAGATGAATATGTTGTATAATGAGATGAATATGGTGCATCATATAATCAACCTGTTAAAAATTAAGATTAACGTGTTGCATTAAATAATAAGATCAATAAGATGAATATTTTATATAATAAGATGAAAT